CAGTTACAAATCCATGATATTGTTTTCTGGGCAGTGAAATGAGAAGTGAGTCCCTTGTTGAACGAGTTAAGATGCAGATTATGCCTGACAAAAAAAATCGAAAAATCAACCAAACAAATCAAAATCGAACTCGGATCAGTTCAACATAGGTAATTGATTTGGTTTGATTTTCTTTTAAACAAAATCAGTTGATTCAGTCATAATTTAAAGTCTCAAATCGTTGATTAACCAAACCAAACCAACCTTTTACATGTTTATCTTTTTTAATTTAAGAAAAATGAAAATCAAAAGATAAACCATAATCTTATAATCAAATCTCTATTCCCTCTAATTTATGACGTTGTCAGTAAGTAATAGTATTGAAAATTTTCTTTCATAAGCTTATCATATTATACTAAGCATTGTTTCCCTACTCAACCGGTCATACTACATGATGCATAAAAAGGCAACAAATTTTTAAGTTTTCTGTTGATCCGTCTCTATTAAAATGATTTTATTTGTTAGTCAATAGTCCCTGTAATATAAAATTATTTGTTTATTTTAGTTCTTGTAATTAAGTGAGTCTAAAACTCGGACAATTTTCTTAAAAATTTAATTTGGATTAAAAGTCAAAACCGATTAATTTGGTTTGATTTGGTTTAAAAGTTAGAGTGAGTTGATTTGAGTTAAAATTCGTCCAAATCCACCAATTTTGGCTTCGGGTTAGAGTCGAAACCGACTCAAACTAAATCGCGCCCGAGTCTAATTCAGACTGGGCTAAACCTATTATAGGATTTGTTTTGATGGTTAAAGAGATTCTACTAAAAATCTATACTAATTTACTAAAATATATGTTACAGATAATAATAATAATTTAATTAGTACCTGAATTTTGAATACAGTTTCAAAAACCCTGATTCTTGATATTGGAATTTTAAATTAATGTTTTCCTCTAATTTTCGATACAAGGAAACTAAAATCTTACCAATATTCCGAATAGTTATTTTTATTATGTTACTTTTAATATGCCCTTATACACTTTTATGAATTTGCTTATTTAGACCCAAAAAAAAATAAAAATAAAAGATTTAACATTTTCAGTTTATCATATGATCTAAATTCTAATTTAATCCTACATCGTTTCTGTCCAATCTAATTGAATCTAATATAACATTAAAGGTGATTAGTTACAAAAAAGTAATTCAAAACGACATATTAAGATTTTTAAAGCCAAGAGCATGTTTAATAGACTCCCTATTTTTTAAGAGTATGTTCTGCCATTTGGAGAGTATTCATAAATTTAGAAATGTAAAATTTTGAAATACTCGAACAAACTCTTTATATTTAATATTTATTGCTCTAAAAAAATATTTATTATTTTTTTCTATCTTTTATTTTGATTAACTTTTCTCTAAATTATTTTATTATTTTCTTATATTGAAAATTGAAACACTTTATATGCATTTAATTATAAAAAGTGAATTTGGCTGTCGAAATTCCACTCTCTAAATTAAAATGCTAATTTAAAGAGTTTATTGGAGTTTGATTTTAAGGGTTGACTCTTTAAAATAAAAAGCATCTCATAGTTAAATAGTCTCTTAAAAATGTTTGAACAACGTTGTATAAGTTACCTTATATCATATTGAAGATGAATGCTATTAAAAAAGTTCGGCCAATTTATTGGATCTAAATTTTGAAAAAATCTTTGTTTTGATTATGAAAATTACAAAAAGCAAGCTTTTGACTAGATGGTTAAATTATCATAATATACATACAGCCCTTATTTGAGCCACATTATTGGAATGAAAACACATTTTTGATTAGTATATTAAATGGAAATGTGTGGTTAAAAAATAAAGAAATGTTTTGGATTTGCGTATATTATTATTTTATTAAAAAATGTGTAATTGAAATGATATCAAATCACTGTTAAAAAATGTATTTTTTTTCAAATAACGTGGCTCAAACAAGGCCTGTCAATCTTACTTCTATAGAAGGGGTAACCCATCAAGTCCACTTCACGTCTCTAGTTTCGTTGGGGTTGCAGTCATGTCCATGAACTCTAGCCCCAGTTTGGCGTACAATATTTTCTTTTTTTAAAAAAAATGAATAATATTTTAGAAGAATTTATAATTAAAAAGTAGGAAAAATCTTGAATTTATGTACAAAATATTTTATTATGTGAATGCGAGATTGACAATGATCTTATAACAAATAGAGTTTTAAAATAATGGACACCATATAAGGGCTAGAGTTCATGGAAGTCCTCCAATTTCTATAACTTAATTTTGGTAAATTTGGTCTATGATCATTGAACTTTCAGCAAAATCTCGATTGTATCACTTAACTTTTAATTTATTTTAACCAAGTCATTGAAACTCAAATTCTCAATTTAGTTTTAATTTTCACCAGCTCATCACTTGCCTTCTCCCAAATCAATATAAGGCCTTGTTTGACACCCATTATTTAAAGAATTAAAGAGTTTTGAATAGTATTTTTGGAGAATGTGTGATTAAAAAGTAAGAAAATTTTATTGGTTTATGAATAAAATATTTTATAGTGTGAGCCCCCGTTTGGCTCCCATTAAATTGCATCAAATTAAATTAATTTTTTCTCTCTTCTATTTTTAACAATACAATTTTCAATAAAATAATATTACTCGTAAATCGAAAACCTTTTATTCTTTTATAACCATTCATTTTTCAAAAAAAAAAAAAAAATTACCCCCCCATTATTATCAAAATTAACATTGGCCAAACGCGGGCTAAATGTATGATAGAAAATGATACTATAGTAAATAATTTAAAATTTTAAAAGCTGTCAAACAGAGGCTAAATGTTCTTTTACATATTCATTGCATGACACATCAACTTACCATCAAGCTATGTTAAATTAACATTTTCATTATTGTCATAATTTTTAGGTTACCATTTTCGGTTCTCAAGTACTACATTACAATTACATGAAATTTTAACTAATTGAATTTCAGTGACTCAATTGAAATAAATTAAAATTTATTCACCCATTGACGTTACGCATAATACTCCTTTAGGCTATACTTAAAATGAATAACAAGAAAAGACAAAGAGATTAAGGTTCAAATTATTACACTTGATGCTCAAATGAAATCCATCTCAAAAAATTTACGTCATAAAATATAATGAAAATACGTCATTAGATTTTGATAAGTGTATGTCACTTATTTGGACTTAAAAATATAGGCATTTAATAGTTTTTAATAAATTATAGCCTAACTTATTGTATATTTTGTTTATTAGGTAAAATTCAATGGTTAGAAGTTGAATTGAAAGAAAGAGGCGAGAAACGACGAAAAATGGAGAAGTACAAAATTTGATAACCAAATTACAAATATCCAATAGTTGATTTGAACCACAAAATATACTTTGAAGATTAATAATAGGAGTCAATTGGATGATATTAGAAGTCAAAAATGAATGAAATATAATCAGAATATTATTATAAATCGACTTTTAATCACATAAGATATCTTCCAAATTTTTAGTCAAAATCGAGACCCATTTTTTGGCATAGTAAACGTCTGAATTGAAAATGTTCTATTTGTGGCAAAATTGTAGCCATTTGAGTTAACTTTCCAACGCCTTTTGAATCAACTCAATTGGATATCAGGAGACAAAGTTATGATAAAAAAATTTATTGTTGTGCAGAAACAAAAAAATCTGTGCGCGAATGTAACTTTCCTTATTCGGGCTATGAGCCTTAGAAAAACAAGAAAAGTGGCAAAATGCTTCCTTTTAAAAGGCATCAATTTACTATTTGGAAAAGGAAAAAAGAGTGGAAAGGCCCGAGCCGAAAACTCAGGTTGAGCCTAAATTTCTTGGCTCGGGCTTGAAAAAAAAGCTCACACCATTTTGCTTGACCAGAGCCCAAGCCTCTAGTTTCGGCTCGCGAGCCGACTTGATTTTGCTCGTTTATCTTCATTTTCTTAATTTATCAAAAATTCGAGTTATGTCTTTTCATTTAAATATGATTTCTTGTAATTTCATTATAATTGACTAGATTTTAATATTGTTAGGATGAGATGAACCATTATTATGAGATTTTTGGCATTAATTAATTATCTTGACGTATAGTATGTATGTTTTCTTGGATGTTTATTATTATTTTTACTGACTTCTCAATTAATTTGCTACTAATTGAGATGATTTATTGAAATCTATTGTTATCGAAAGAGATAATAATTTTTTTTAGCTAAAATAATAAATATTGTAAGGTTCGATAGATAATAGAGATATACCTTTATACTTTACATGATTTTCATACGTGTTCTAGATCGTTTAATGCATTTATCTTGTTCATATCTTTCATCTAAAGATATGAAGATCACATGAGAGGAATATATTCTATAATTATCGAGAGACGTTTTCAATTAAATTAGAAACTTTGACCGACAATAATGACTACACACTGTCATCTTAATTTGTTGTGCTAAAAATAGATTAGCAAGGGGGATTCTACGTCTTAGCAATACTATCAAATATTGAAAAACCCTGCTAAATCACTTTCTAGTTTAATTGATAATTTAGATATTAGTTAGAAAAATTAAAAAACTTGTTTACAATTCGATTAAAGTTGCAATTAATTTTAACTTGATTAGACACATAATTCTTGTGGGTTCGATACTCTACACACTACTATATTACTTGCCACGATCCCGTTCATTTGCGAAAAATCAAATGATCAAGATTTAAGTTTGAAGGTGTTTGATAAATGTATTTTATACACTTATTTTGACTTTAAAACAATAGACATTTAATAGTTCTTTAAAAAATTATAGCTTAACTTATTGTATATTTCGTTTATTAGGTAAAACTCGATGGTTGAAAATTAAATTGAAAGAAATAAGCGAAAAACGATGAAAAATGACGAAGTACAAAGTTTGATGACCAAATTGCAAATATCCATTGGTTGATTTGGACCACAAGATACACTTTGAAGATTGATAGGAGTTAATTGAATGCTATTAGAAGTAAAAAAGGAACGAAATATGTTCAGAATATTATCATGAATAGACTTCCAATCACATAAAATATTTTCCAGATTTTTAGTCAAAGATTGACACCCATTTTTGGAATAGTAAACGTCCGAATTGAAAATATTCTATTTGTAGAAAAATTGTAGCTCTTTGAATTAACTTTCCAACGCATTTTGAATCAATTCAATTGGATATTGGGAGACAAAATTGTGATCAAAATACTGACTATTGTGTAGAGACAAAAAATTCGTGCACGAAGATAATTTTCCTTTTTTGATTGAAACTCTGTTGGAAACAAATTTAGACGTGATTTTCAACCAATTTTTGGCTCTTACAAATACTGAATAGCAGAACGCATGTTAAAAAAACTCTCCTACATCTTTCATATACATCTCCTACTCCGATATATTTATCAATGCCAAACATATTACTTTACAGTACACTACTATTTTTTTTTTTAATTTGGCAATCAGCCTGGCTATATGTTAGGATCTATTATAACATAGCCTCAATGAACCTTTTTTTATCTTATAAAATTCTAAGTTCCTTTTAAGGCTTGCTGAAAACCCCGTTTATCATTTGATGATACCATGTGAATCGCTAAAAACATGTGAAGTGTAAATCTAACCCAAACCATTTTTCACAATCTTCATTTTGATGACCTTGGTATTAACGAAGTTAATCTGTAAACCATCAACGATTGTTCCTATGCTAGTTCAATAACATCTCCATAAGATTGTACAAATTATTTAAATCGTGTGGGGGCAGCCTCAACCCAACAATTCATTCGTGGAAAAGAGTAGATGAATGTGTCTTTTTGAGTGTCCTGCAAAAACTATATTGATATAGTCGACATTAAAGATAGCAGATTCATCATTCACTACTACTCGAAATGCCATCCAATTAGTCATGAAACTAGACAAAACTAGATGATCAATCAAGCAATCTTAACCCTCAGGCCGATGGCTGTCCATGTGGCTATGAGAAGTTCATACTCTGGGGATAACTATTACGAATAAGATGAAGAATATGCACTGCAAATAGCTTACAAGAAACTGTACTTCATAAATGTAAATCCTTCACAGAATCTTGCACGCAGAAACTATTCAAAGCAAAATATTTACTTGTATGTTACTATATACCATATGCAGAAAATTCTGGAAAAATATATAATTTTCTCATTCATATTTGAGTGTCATTTTATTCTGTGCAGACAATTAGAAAGCAACAGTAACTAATACAAGGTGAAGCCATCATCATACGATACGTGCCATCCTTTTCGACAAGGTCCAGCATTTTCGTCATATTCAGCACAACAGCTCCATCGTTTTTGCCAGTTGGATATACCAGTGTTTGGTCTGTTGTCTTTCTCATTCCATTTGTAAACAATCACTCCCGATTTATCACTCCATTCCCCGTCAATTCCTTGGTGAGGCGGTGCTAATGAAAATAATCCCTTCTCTCCTGCACAGTTGAGAAGGTAGCTTCCAGATGGTTACAACATGCCAGAGGTTATCTAGGAACGAATCTTAATAAGACCATGTCCTATAAGTACATATTTTGATGACAAGCAAGAGCTATAAAGACATTGGGAAAAGTGGGTTAATGATTATGAGCTACTTCAAGTTGACTCAGTTCAACTTCCCAGATTTCTGGATTTAAATGGATCATTTAACTTCTGCGCAGATTTATAAATGTTTGGATGAATCAGACAACTCAAAATCCTTAAGGACTCGATTTCCCATGTTAACATTTTCGACCCAAATGCCTTGGAAGTTCAATTTTAATTTCATTTCCCTTTGTGTTCATGTGAGGAGGCTACGTATATTCACAAGCCAGCCTCTTCAATAAAACTCAGATAAGAACTGCCACAATAAACGCCATTCCTTCATTTAACAGATAGCATCTTAACTTCAGAATGGATACTTGACCAGCTTATCATCGCCTGGCAAGTTGAAAGCCATATGTCAAGAACGAAAAGGAACCAAAAGAAGTTTCTTCACATTTCTACTCAATCACAACTCAAATATTTGTGAAAAAAGCCACTCGTAATTGGATTTCAGCAGAAGGCACACAAGTCATTGTGTTACCGTGCAACCACAATTTTTCAAACCTTTTGCACCATTTCTTTAGCATTACCGAAAAAGATTTAGATTTTATCTAATTTCTAGGCAGTACAATTTATTATTTTATCTCCACCGCAAAAGCATCATTAACATTTACTTGATTTATTATCTCAACCAAATGATACACACAGATATCGATTATCTTTACCTGGACCCAGAAATATCAGAGCCAAAAAATATTTCTATAGCATTGGCCTAAAGAACTAAATAGTAGATGGAATGCAAAGTAAATCTTCCATTTCAGACAGACCTGCCATTATCATATTTCAGTGAGCTTCTTTAGCCAAACATACCAATATAATGTTACTTGGATCATAATAATTCAGACAGATAGAAGTAGGGGTTGTTAATGGAAGACAAAGTAGGAAATGCAATAGTCATAGAGGCATGAATTGGGAGTGAAAGGTAGGCGATCACTATTCCCTGCAACTCCCTTCCCTACTCTGCTCCATGGGATTGGGAGAACTGTGGAGTTTTCTCTTCTTAGTAGTAAATGGCCATTCCCTTCCAGGACATTCCAACATGCAAGATTGTGATCGATTTACTTGATCTACACAATCTTAAATCTATTTCTATCTGAACATAAATTACAAGATTTAAAGGGCAATTAGTTCTGAAGATTTTACAGTTGTACATGATTATTTGATCCTGCTTTGAGCATATGCATAAAGCAAAGGTAGAAATTTCATACTAAAAAAAATACATCTGAGACAGCCTCTTCCTTTCTTCATATTACAAGTGTAAAATTATTTTTCTTTATTTTGATGTTTTTAATTACAGACGCACGAGTGCGCGCCCCCCAGTAGCTATGAGTTGTTACTCAACTGGTAATATAACAGGCAGTATGAAAACCCAAATGTATAACCTAATAGCACATAGGTAAACAAAACTGTCCTATTTCCTTAGCTTAAAGTATCCCATCAGTCAATAATTAAACCAAAATTCAAAACAAACCCATGTCAATGAAAGTACCTTTCATATACAAGACTGCAGTTAAGAAAATACACATGGGCATATTTTCATACCAGTGGTGTGGCCATGGAACGAGCAAGCAGTTGGGGAGTTGTCCTTGTCTTCATAAAGGGTGTTGCATCTCAAACATCTCTTCTGGGCACTAATAATTTGCAAATTTTTTGGGACTCTATGATTGATTCTTGAAACTGAGTTGAATTGACGAGCAATTAAGGGGTTGTGGAGGAGACTTGGGGAAATATTGTAAGAAGCCAAAATCATATCAAAACTACCGTAATTGCTTCCAATTGTTCAATTCTTGAACGCGATTGTTGAGCTTTGACGTCTTCGGTTTTGGTGGTGAGGGAGAAAGGTTAACCGTTACGTTCCACAACATTCTGGGCTAGTGGGACCTTTATGTACGGAGTCGTCGTTTCGCAGTCGCTAGTTGTCGAACGTGATATTCTATATGATGGTTTATAATTTGATGTATTAATGTGTTAGTTTTTTTTGCAACATATATCAAATCGCTAAATGTTACATGCGTGCGATGTAGGACAATGCGACAGTGAGTAACTGCAAATAACATTATTTTCATGTACAAGTCTTGAGTTTGCTTGTTTTTACGCTTTACGTTAAATAATAGGGATATTTTAATTTTCAATCGAGTGATTTTTATTTCCTTGTCTCAAAATGGGCACACGACTTCCGCTATTCAACCATCACTAGATTTCCTTGATTGGATTCTTAAAAAAAAAAAATTTGTCACATTTTTTTTATACCTCATCTATATGTGAGTCATTATGTAATTCCATTATATACAAATAATATTATTCTTCTATGATTTAGTATTTGGGAAAATTGCCACAAAACACAGCAAAAATAATTGTTGCATTTTTCTCTTTCATTTATTTTCATACACACAGTCTTTCATAAAATAATATTATACGTAAATCGAAAATTTTTCATTTTTTTCAACTATACATTCTTAAAAAATAAAAATAAAAATAAAAAACACTATTTCAAATATTAAAATTTGCAAAACGAGGCTTAGTAAAGGAGACCTGTGGATCGACTGCTGAATCTCCGCTTCAGCGGTCGATCCACATCCCCTTACTCCATGACATCTCAATCAATTTCCAAGTAATTGAAAAATTCTCTCGATATATATTTTCCCACTTTGTTTGTCTTCTTCGTTAGTCTATTTTGAGAAACATTTTTCCACTTTTGTATGTTTTGTCTATGAGTCTATTTATGGTCTCAAACAACCACATAATTCATAGTTTGAGGGACTTCTTACATTGCTTCTTAAAAATGGCTTTACTTGTAGTAAAGATGATTCATCACTACATTTTACGTTGATGATGTTATTGTTGCAGAAAATAATTTACAGATGATTCAAGAATTCATCTCCAAGCTTAGCATTGAATTTCCTTCAAAAACCTCGAATCTCTATACTATCTCATTGATGTTGAAGGAAAAAGGCCCTCAAAAGACTTAATTCCTTCACAAATGAAGTATTCAAGGAACTTGCTCGTCAAAAAGCAACAAAAATAAATACTCGTATTGTCATATGAAGCCCTTTCATCAACTTGATGACGAGCTAACAAATGCCATAAAGTTCCAATTTTTTTTTTNTAATTTTACACGTAAACCCCAAAAATTTTCCTACCGCTTAACTAAATTCTCCAAAAAATAACTAATATTAAACTTTTTTTTTTCCTTCCAAAAAAGGGTGCTCAAACAGGGGATGAATGTGATATCTTTTAGTAGGTCCATATTAGGCTAGAAGATTGGCACATGTTTATAGTTGAGAATTACACATCAAAAATTATTGTTCATTCATTTTGTTATCCCGTGGTCAGCTCAGAGACGTAGCATCATGGGCAAATTAAACTTTATTTGGAAATGTCACCCAGAAGAATACATTTCTTTTGATATTAAGCCTCCGTTTGTTTCTCATTATTTGTCTATTAAAATGAAAAATATGACCGTTATCCATCATATCAAATTACCATAGTTGACTTTTTATCTCTTGTGTGGAATCCGTAACGACTATATTTTTCATTCTCATTTTTACATTAATACGTACCAAACGGAGCCTAAGAAAGAAAATTTGGTTTCTTGTGACAACCCCTTCTTGACAGGTGGCCAACTGATCCACCAAACTTCGCCATTTGATGGAGAAGGACCTCGAAGATTCCACACATAAAAAGAGAAAAGAAAAGAAGGAGAAAAAAAACGTATACAAATTATATTTTTTTTCCTTATAATTATTTTCTTTTATTGTTTGATCCATGCATTGAAAAATGCTTTATTTTTTTTAATAGAACGAAATAAAATTTTATAGGAGCTACGCGATCTCCCCCCCCCCCCCCCCCCCCCCCCCCCCCCGCGATTTCCCCCCCCCCCCCCCCCCCCCACCTTCTTCTTATGTCATAAAATTACAAAATAAATATGAGAAAATGCTTGAATATATGTGGGGTAGCTCTCTTATTATTTGTTTAGTTTAATCAATTAAACTTGTAAGAATAAAAAGGATATGAAAGACCAAAGGACGCCTTTTTATTGGTTTGGATGTTACTAGTAGCTTTTCTCCGACGCCCTGTGGACCCCGTGCTTATCAACTTTTTCCAAATATTCTAGAACTTAAAATAGTTGACAATATTTTTATTTTATAGGTCACCAAAGTTTAAGTGAAGTTTTATTTACTCACTATAATTTATCTTATTCCAAATTTATCATTTTAGTTTGCTATTTGTTTGAAATAAGTCACCCATCATATCCCCGTCTTCAAATTAACTATTTTTCCTATATGGCAGATGTACATTTATGACGCGGATGCTAAATATTGAGATGGACGAATGAATTTGCACGTTTTATTTTAACGTGTAAAAACATGTTTTTCCAAATGAATTTAACCAGAAACATTAAACAAATGTATATTATCAAATCTGTTGTGCACCTCCATTAACACTTACAAGACAAATGTTTGACAAAAAAATCTCATTGGATACCTTCAAGTGTACATGATATTTTTGTTTGTGCTTGAGTGTTTCAACAAAGATATATGATCGCTCATTTCATGGTCGAGTCTAGCGAGCTCATAAGACTAAAGACCGAGATGAAGTTTAAAAGCCGTGTTCTACTTGTTGGAAACTCAATTGAGATTGAGAGGAGGATGGGAGGATAGCAGGAAACTTGGTGTTGATTGATTGATAAGGAGAGAAATGACAATGAATTTTTTCCAGTTAGAGGTTGAAGGCTAAGTCGGGTCAAGGTTAAGAGCCTTCATGACCATTAGTTCACTGCTTTGCTAAATGGTGATGTAATGGAGTTAATTTGATCTACACGTGATTTTGTTTTATTAACTGATTTGATAACTGAAAGTACATATAAAATTTGCATTATACACAAAACAATTTAGCCCTATGTCGATTAAAATCAAATTTTTAATAAATTTTGATAAATAATGGCATATGCTCGAAAAGTTTTGATCCCATGATATGGATAATTAAAATTAATTGTTAAATTTGACTCATGATTTTGATTTATTTTAATCTACATGAAATAGGCGTTTAACGATAAATGCATGAGTTTGCATTGTTGTTAAACAAAAAAAATAAAACAATCGTTTTAATATACTCGACATTATAGTTTAAAATATATGAGAAATTATGTACTTAGAGTTGCGAAAATGTAATGAGTAAATTGAAGTAAAATATAAATATTAGCCGTTGCATTGAAATAAATAATAGTTGAGTGACTTAAAATAAATTTCCTTAAAGCTGTCTTACATCCAGGGTTTTTAACCTATAAAATAAAATTGGATTACGGCAACTACGTACACAAGAAAGAAAAGTCAGCTAGATCAATAAAGTTCAATACTGAAACAATCTCTACCAATTCAAATTCATCCACGAATTAAAAAAAAGAATCCGTAAAACCCCGTTTCTGTGATTAATCGTCTGTGTCTCAATCGGCTGTAATGTTGGAGTTGTTCTTCACAGTGGCGTTTTCTGCAGTCCCGTTGATTCTTTACATCCCTCCAGTCAGGAGCTTGAGTCTATTTGTGGAGACAATGGAGGATATGTGGAGACAGTCAAGTGCTTATACTGGCAGGATTTATCCTCGTCTGAGATTTGCTTGTGGTAGGATTTTGAATTTTATGCTTAATAATACCACAAGATAAATTAGTTTAATTCTTTCAATTTGAATCCAGAGCTTGAATTGAACCATCTCGGATAGATTCAAAACATTATTTGTATGTATATTCTCGGATTTTTTTCCTCTTCTGTTTCAAGTGTTTTGGGATTGATTTACAATAGGATTTAGCCGTTCGATTTGCTACTGCTGTTGTTCTTGTGAAATTTGTATTTCAGATAATCAATAAACGAAAATTTTATGGTGTTGGTAGAATTATCGTCTTAGATATGTTCTGTTCGATTATGAAAATAATAGCTTAGGGCTAGGGATACACCTCTTAATACCTCTTAAGATGGAATCCAAAATCCAATAGTGGGTCTGAGTGCGTGGCGGCAATGGTCTCTAATATTTAGCAATAGGAAATTTTTGGAGTATTGAGGTTAGGGAAAGGACAATTTACTATCCTTAAATGTTTCGCGGAGTTTAAGGTTAGATGGATTTTTTCAAGAAATAACCTTTGTTACAATTGCTAGGGCAACCGGTTCGAGTCCTCTTAAGCCACTTAGGTGAGTACCCGACTGTAAATTTTAGAGTCCGTGAGATTAGTCGAGGTGTGCGTAATCTGGCTGGACACCCACGGTTATAAAAAAAAGCAATTGCTAGGGCAAGTAAATAGTATAAAATGTAAAATTAACTAGAAAAGTTTGGAATTCCCGATGACATCTAAGGAAACTGGCCAATATTGATTGCTCTAATTTCCTTGTCTTCTCCAAAATTGTTCTTTGCGTTGCTGTCTCTTTTGATGTATGTTTCTAAACTTCTACTGTATTTCATATGTCCACATTCTCCATTTAGAAGGAGGCATACATATGTGTATAGCGCCTGTTTGTCTCTGTTTCAAACCTTAAATCGTATGTTGACCGAAAATATAAATCTTGAAACAACTTGTAGATCAATTGCATTTCTCCTTCCTATTGTCCTGTGCACACAAATCACAGAACTAAGTCACGAGGTATTTAATTTGCTGGCCTTTTGATATGCCCCATGCACTACGAAAGTTGAAACTTTAGTTCCTATAAAGAACCTCCAAATGGAATACTCTGATCAAAGAATTTAGGCTGATTATGTCCTAAGTGCTAAGTACTGATAGGAACCTATTGCAGGAGATACTTACTTCCCAGAATTAAAGACTGTACTTAAGATAAACAATGTGCTATTAAACAAAATGCTGATTCTGGTTTCTATAATATGGTATTACTGTAATTGAATT